ATTTTCAGTTGGATTCAGGGAGTTTTGGGCCATTCCAAAACTTAGATCTTTTTCTGGTGAAGCCATTCTTTTGTTTATTCGAAGGTATGCTTTGGGTCATTGCCATGTGGAAAGGTGACATTCCTTTCCATCTTCAGCATTTTAGCAGAGGCCTGAAGGTTTTGTGCCAAAATTGACTGATATTTGGAATATGCCATTATTCCTGCTACCTTGAGTAAAGCCCAGTATTTGTAGATTAAATCCTTTATCTGTTATTGACTGGTTTTACACAGTGCACTAAGTTACAATTTGTCTGAATCATGATTTGAATAAGATTCAGTGGTTGTATAAATATGTAATGCTAAATTATAAGCTACAAATCATGTCTATGTTTGCCCAACTGTTTAAGCCACGCTCAATTAAATTACATTATTGCTAAACTTTATATATTGTTAGAATTGGTAATATTTTGAGGTGAAGGCAGTGGATGACCTCTGCAGAATAATAATAGGTTTACGTTTGAAATAATACTGTAGACAATACTGTGGTTCTATCTTCCAGAGAAGTGATATTTGATGCCATTTAACCTTCTTCAAGGAAAAACAAAGAAAGTCCAGTTCCTTTTGAAAAAGCATGTTTGGGATAATGTTTCAGCTCATAGCTTGCAAAGAGTAATTTGTCCCTCTTGATATCTTGTGAAATAGTTTCTTCTGAAATGGATGAAAATAATGGAAAAAGAAACTACTGCTTCCCTTAGAAAATTCTGAAATTTGAGGATGATCCCCAAAGAGGGTACTCCAGATTTTTAAAAAAATGTATCTTTGATAATTGCAGCTAAATTTCCTGCCACAATTTACTTGAAGAACCTATTCTTCTTTACCTGTATGTCATTTGGAAAGTAGTGGCATCCAAAGTTTTTTGAATTGTGAACTGAATTCAGAGCACCCCATTTTGAACCTAAAGCCATTGTATTAAATTCAGAATAATAGCTTCTTTCATTTGAAAGTGTTGGAATTCAAAATGGGACATTTTGCATTTGATGTGTTTTGCATACCCATTTTAAATAATATCCCAAATCTTCTAATGTTATATAATTCATGGCTGTTTACTCCATGTATTCCCACATGTGTCATTATGTACATGGCTGTGCATATAAGTCATGGAGAAACGGAGTTATTTATCTTCAGACTTCAAGCAGTCTAGGGTAGAAACTGAGGCATTGTTTTTAAGTCAAAGACTTTGTCTTCTTAGACAGCAAAATATTTACTGATTCGGTTGAACTCTGAGAGAGCAGTGGACTTACAAGATCAGGGTTAGGGAACCAGGATCAAGAAAATAATTTATAACATATAATCTGTTTTGCTCCATGTGCATATTTTGACTTGGCACTAATTGTCCTCCGCCCAGTTTATCCTTCTTCCTACAAGAATACAAGTAGTAGCTGAATTGTAGCATCACTGAAATGCTTAATCTTCTGGCATAGTGAAAATTCTGTTTAAACTTAATAAAAACAGATGCAATAAAGATGGATCCCTTAACTACTTGGCTTCATTTGACAGTTATGAGAAAACAATGGCTTAGGTTGGAAGGCCCCCCCCCCCCCCAAAAAAAAAAAAAAAAAAAGAATCTCTGTTTTATTTAATGATTTGGTTCTATCACCAACTCTTTCCATTATAATTATATTTGTCTCAGCAGAACAATCATCTTTAGGCAGAAAATTTTGACAGGCAGCACTCTAAAGGCTATACTGTCGTTTTCAAAGTTTTCATATAAGTCTATAGGCCATTAAATAAATCAACATAGAAATTATAAGGCATTGGCTAAAATGATAAAATTTGCTCTTTTAATCTAAGTGGTTTTATTCTAATGCACTTTTTCTGAAAACTAAAATAGTATATAATATTCAGGTAACAAAACTGCTTTGTGCCTATACTTTTTTTTCCCCATTGGGCTCCTTAAACATTTTTCCTTAGAACTTGTGCAATGGAAAATGGTATAAAAATGGTACAGTGCCAGATCTCTAACCAAGATGTGAATGTTGGTCACCCAATTTATTGTGTTTGGTTAAGAATAATCAGTCTAGTTTGTCAGGTTTGATTGAAGTATTCATTGTTCAAGCTGTAAAGAGATTCCTTAATGAAAGAAGTCCATAGTTTCTGTGTTCTCTTATTGATATCCTGTTTAATGGTAGTATTAAAAGAATAACATGTTCATGCTGTCTTGATAATTGAAAATCAAACATTCAGGATAAAATCATTTTTAAAACTATGTAAAAATCATGTGGGTTTAACAACACACTGTAATATTTGTACTTCAACAAATGCTGTCATGATCGACATAGTTGTAAATAAGGATCATTTTTATTATAATTTAAAATTCACGATTTCCTTTTCACAATGGAAGGCTTCTAAGCCAATGACACACTTCCAATTATGGTGCCCAAGAAAAAATTGAATTAATACTGCAAATGACCCTCAATTTCCCTCTTTCCCACTGAGAGTTTTCTCCTATCATAGAAACAGCATGAAGATACTTTCGGAATGGGAGCCTTGCCTTTCATCTCATATGTGGCCCCCAGTCTTTATATCTTTGTTTATTATTAGATATTTGTATCTCTGGTTGAATAGGTTTAAAAAAAGGACAAAGACGAGAAGTTTACCAAATGGTTGTTAGGATCTTCTATTTGCAGAATATCCTTATGCTTCTGGTGAGTGTCCTGCATTTTCTAGAAGAAATGGTGAAATCCTCAGCAAATTGTCATCTCAGAAACTTCTACTGCAGTAAATTAAAACTGAATTTTTAAGAAATTGAACGCTCAGCATTCAAAATGTGTGAATGTTTGTCTCATTCTGATAAATGTTCAGTTGAAAACAACTGAAAGTCTATTCCATTACAAATTCATATTGAGGATGTTTCAGTACTGCTTTGTAGAAAGCTGCATAAAAGATTTTTATTTTCTCCCTCTTTATATCTTCTTCCAAAAATTGCTAGCAGTTTTAAAGCTTTGCGGGAAGGAGGGAGGCATTTACCTGATGCTATCTGAATATGGAGCAGAAATCTTAGTCACTAACAATGCCAGCGTCCTGAATAAACTCTGTAGGGAGGATTATCTTGTTGTATTGTTCTGCTCCAACCATCTCCAAATAACTGTAAAGCACTGTTTCACACCCAAGCTTTTTGTAGAATTGGGAATTTTTAAAAGCAACAGCCCATTGTGTACCTATTCTGTGCCCTCAGCTGCATTGTCATTCCTTGCAGAGTAATTTCTCTCTTCTGTGTGATTTGCATCAGGAAATTTTTGGGTCATAGTGTCCCCCTTGTGAAAGAATAATGGACAACAAATACCATTACTTTTTTTTTTTTTATATTTAATATTCCAGCCAGCATTAATTTGCTCTCTAGTTGCAAATGGTGTGTGGAATTTAAAAAAAAAAACCCATTTTGTCTGTTTTTAGCCCAAGCTTTCATTTACATTCATGGTGTATCTTATCTCTGACACACATATTGTTTGTCCTAAAAAGACAGTGCCGTGATTTAGAGTTTCTCTGAGCTATTATCAGGGAAGATCGATACGCTCATAAGAGGCTGTCACTTTCTGGAGGTAATAGGTAGGAAGCTTCACTGGGTTTGCAGATCACCATTGCTGCTGGATTACAACCTGTTTTTTATGCGTGGTTATTTTACAGCGGCAAAGCTGCCATATTTATTTCAGCACAATCCTAGGGCTGTCACATTCGATTGCTTTTAACCAAGATTAATAAAAAGCTACACTTAAATCTTTCCCTTTTCCATAACTCCTGCAGTGTTCATTAATATCAAAAGAAGAAACTTGAGCTGTGAAGTTTCTCATGCTGTTCTCTGTTTAAATGACCAGAATACTATAAAAGGGGAAATTGCATAATAAGAATGGGCTACAAATACTATTTATTTCTGGTGGCTGTAATTGCCACAGAAGTCTAAAATGTGCCCAAAGTATGGCAAATATTGGAACCATTTTAAATTTCATGCTTGAAAACTAATCCAGTGTAGCTCTTTTATTATTTATATTTATATTAATTTCTTTATAATATTTGTGAAATAATTCCCTCAGGTCAAAATAAAAGCTACTAGTAAAGCAGAGCAGTGTGGTGGCATAGAAGTGAAGATTCTCTCTTCCTACATGGAAGGTTGACAGTTCAATCCTAGGCAGTGACAGATGTTTCGCTATCAGGCTGCAAAGAGGAAATATCTGCTGCGAATTCTGCCTAGGCATCAGGAAGGGCATCTGTCAGTAAACGCTCAGTGCCACTCAGTTGCCTCAACCCCATCCCGAAGCAGGGGATTACAGGATCATAAAAAGAGGGGGGAAAGTACTATTAATTAAAACAGCTTAAAGTAAAGGAGATTGTGTGTGTGTGTGTACGTGTATAATTGGAGGTGAAATTATTTTGGCCATGTTTGTTCAATGTACCTCACTCAGTCTGGTGTTCATTAAGCCAAATGGTTTATGTAGTGTTTTGGCCCCAGATGACCAACGGAACCTATAGTTGCCTTAACTATATAGTTTGCAGCCATTTTTTCAGAGCAATTTGGCTCATTTTGTACTGGTTGACATTCTATCACCTTCTGGTTTGTTTGCTTCTTAACAGTAAGAAGGGAAAATGTGTCGTGGTCTTCCCCCATTTCTTTTCTCTTCCCCGTTTCATCACCATCCAGCCATGTTTATTCAGAGGGCCAGGTGGAGGAGCTATGATACAGATATAACAGCTTCATTTTACAGTTGCTCTAGACTTCCCATCTCTTTGCTGATGGCTAGGAATGCAGGCTAATCTCAAATTAACTCTTCTATGGATATGATCAAGGTAAGTAAACTGCTGCCTAACCAAGCCTATACAAGTCTGGTTAAAGAAGAGCCTGATTACATTTTGTCAGAGGCTTGGGTTTATATGATACACAAAGTCTTTAAATAAATGGCTTAGTGCTTTTGATTATTGAAAACTGGAGGAAGAACTAAGACCTAAGGCTGACGCTTCCATTTCTAGAGAGAGCATGTAAAACGGTTGATTGCGTGGACTACTTCACTTCTGCTACCTCCTTAATGGAAGGTGTGGTCCTAGGGTTCATATGGCCTATGAACCCCTTTTTTTGTGGTCTACAGAGGCCCTGGAGATCACACTATCAAAATTTGGCAGCTAAGTATCAAATTGTGGAGATGGAAAGAAAGAAGAACAGAAAACCAAAGAAAAAGGTATAAGCTGTCAGATTGATTTAAACATTTAAAAGCACCTTTTTAAAATGCTCTATCAAACCCTACTTCTTCTGTTTGCATGACCTCACTACTTCAAGGCTTTGTCCACTGTAGCCCACGGTATTTTTTTTTTTTTTCAAAGGGTGGCCCGAGGCTGCCAAAACATTGCCCGCTTCTGGGTGATCTCTCTCTCTTTGGCCCATCTCCTTCCTTTGCTCTTTTTCCATTCCACATTTAACTTCTCTGGCTCCTTATTCTTTTTTTCTAGCGTACCCATCTGGGTGAGGAGGAGGAGAAGAGGAGGAGGATGGCTCAGTTTCTCCAGATGGAGATCCCCAACTTTGGTAATAGCATCTTGGAATGCCTGAATGAGCAGCGGTTACAAGGGCTGTATTGTGATGTCTCAGTGGTGGTGAAAGGCCATGCTTTCAAGGCACACCGAGCTGTGCTGGCTGCAAGCAGCTGCTACTTCCGGGACCTTTTCAACAACAGCAAGAGCACTGTGGTAGAGCTTCCTGCTGCGGTGCAACCTCAATCCTTTCAGCAGATCCTTAGTTTCTGCTACACTGGCCGCCTAAGCATGAATGTGGGTGATCAGTTTCTGCTCATGTACACAGCAGGGTTCCTGCAGATCCAGGAGATTATGGAAAAGGGGACTGAGTTCTTCCTGAAGGTCAGCTCGCCCAGCTGTGACTCGCAAGGCCTGCACACTGAGGAGGCGCCTTCCTCTGAGCCACAGAGCCCCGTGGCACAGACATCCACCTGGCCTTCCGGCAATACGCCCTTACCCCTGGTCTCGCGTGTAAAGACAGAGCAACAGGACTCAGACTCTGTCCAATGCACATTTGTGGTTAAGCGGCTCTGGGAAAGCAGTCAGAAGGAAGGGAGTAGTGGCGGCAGTAATGGCAGCCGCAAAATAGCCAAGATCTCCTCCCAGCAGGAGTTGAGCGGTGGGAACCGGCAGGTTCAGCAGCAAGTGCAACAACAACAACAACAACAACAGGTCCAGCAGCAACAACAGCAACAGGCTCATCAGCAACAACAGCAGCAGGCAGCACTAACGGGGGGAGGTGGCGGGGCAGGCATGGTCAGTGGCCCCAGTACTTCAGACCAGACAAGCCCTGGCACCTCCAGTGCTTACACCAGTGACAGCCCCAGTTCCTATCATAATGAAGAAGATGAAGAGGAAGATGCACCCGAGGAAGGCTCCGATGAGCAGTACAGACAAATCTGCAACATGTACACAATGTACAGCATGATGAATGTAGGGCAGACAGGTGAGTATCCCACATGGACTGTTACAAAGCATTGTGACTGTGTTCTGCTTGCTTTAAAGCAGGGGTGTCCAACCTTGGCAACTTTAAGACTTGTGGACTTCAACTCCCAGAATTCCTCAGCCAGCACAGCTGGCTGAGGAATTCTGGGAGTTGAAGTCCACAAGTCTTAAAGTTGCCAAGGTTGGACACCCCTGCTTTAAACATAGGAAAGGGATTGTATTGCAGTTTACCCTTGTTCTGATCAGAATATCCACAGAGATGAGATGCAAGGGAGATTTTGTAGGTTGGATAGTAAGGTTGGATGACAACAGAATGTGAGTTCTAGTCCTGCTTTAGGCACAAAACCAGCTGGGTAGATTTTGGGCCAGCCACTTTCTCTTAGCTCTAGGAAGAAAGGAATGGCAAACCGCTTCTGAAAAAGTTTGCCAAGAAAACTCCAATCTCCAAGAATAGGACACAATAGAACCAAAGGAAGGGGGGGGGCTGTTTTTCATTCCTGACATGAGGGATGTTTGTGCATATTGCAATTGACCAATATGAAACAAGTAGATGTGTTCTGATACATTTTGTATGTGTTTGTGTGGGGTTTTTTTGTATGTGAGAGAGAGCAGTGAAAGGAGTGTGAAGCAATCCTGAGAAGGATTTTAAACTAGGAGTAATTACAAATAAATCTCCAAATATTAATAATAATGTCAGTCTAGAGGAATGGTATAAATAGTATTTGTAAAGTGGTAGTATATTTGAAAGTAACAGACTAACTAAGGCTTTGAATCCATACTTTGAGGCCAAGCTACGTGGCCTGCAGTTTGCTAGATATTTTTTTCTGCGGGTGACTTTTGTTCTCTTGCTCATAGAATTAAAACAGGAGGGGGGGCAAGGCAAGTCATTGAGGTGAACTCCCTGCTTAATGCAGGAAGTCAGTATCCATGACAGAGGGCTGTCAGCCTCCCTCTGAACACATCAAGTAAGGGGGCAGGGGCAACTGCAACGTTGAATATCAGACCAGAATTATGCCACGATAGTAATGATGGGAACCTGTGTCTTCTCTGCTCAGGGATTGGGAGATCTTCTGCAATACAAGTAATGAAAATGTCTACTGGAAAGTGAAATCATAGCAACGTGTTTAAGCTTCGCAAAGTCAAGAGTTGTCATTTCTTCTCTTGGTGATTTATAAACAGAACTAGCAGGGCTGCCCTCAAAAGAAAATTCAGAAATACCAGAAATAGTATAGTGCAGAATACTCTTGTCACTTATTGACAGGCCTGAGCTAGCATTCTTTTATCATAGATACATTTGGGCCATCCACAACTTGCTTGTTCATTTTCTACCGAAATCCAAGCCGTGCTCTCTTTTTTACCTAAAAGGCTCAATAGCCCAGCAGCCCAGTCTCAGGGGTTGACTGAAGGGACCTTACTGAGTTTGGGCCAGCTTGATCTGTACAACTAGTAAGTCTTTCTCTATTTTAACTCTTAATATTTTGGGGTTGCATCTTACCAGAGGTGCTTTAAGCACTCCACGTGATCATTGTAAGCGGCAACTGGGGACTTTTTCTTTTTTTCAGTCTTTGCCAAGTTGTTTTTGCTTTACAGCTGCTGCACCATATGTCCTTTATTTTTTATTAGTTTGTTTTTGTAGATAGCTTGAAAGTATTGCATTGTATGATATCTTTGCTGAAAAAATAGTGTATGACTTATTTTTAAAAAATAAAGAATAAAATATGTAATGAGGGTCTAATCACCATAGAAAAGCTGCAATTTTCAGCCTTCTTGATTGCTTCTAGGGTCTTCAGCCTGTCCTCCCTAGTACTGAAAAGTTTGTGAACTATTTTCAGAATGTGACTCTATAAATATGGACAAGGAGGATGAATAGTAATCTCTGCTTGAGATAAATAAACCAATACAGAGATAGTGGATTCTATCCATCTTGTCAGCATTGCACATCCTTGCCTTCCTTGTTATAATGAGGGAATACAGCCAGACTACAATATTTTATGGAAAGGGGACTGAAACATAAGCTCTTAAAAGACATTCTGTTCCTGGGAGAGGAAGAGGTAGTTGTTGTGATTCCATTTTTTTTTAAAGGATGCCGTAATTTCTGTGGTCTTTGAATAACTTGCTTAAGAATACTCTTCAAGAGCAAGGTTACAAATGTAGTTGCGGAGTTTAAATATTTCAAAGAGAAAGATAACTTTAGTACCTTCATTTCATATCTGCTCAACACCTTCTCCAATTTTCCTCCTGTCCTTTTTTTCCCCCCTTTTTCAGCAGAAAAAGTAGAAGCACTGCCAGATCAGGTGCAGTCAGAGTCTCGCAACCGGATACGAGTGCGGCAGGACCTAGCTTCACTGCCTGCCGAGCTCATCAACCAGATTGGAAACCGATGCCATCCAAAGCTGTATGACGAGGGTGACCCAGCTGAGAAACTGGAACTTGTGATAGGTAGGACTCCTTAGAGTTGAGACCGGTTTCAGTAAATAAGAAAAAATCTTGCTTACCTCTTGCATAAGAGTCATTCTGTTCTTTGGGGGATTAATTTTTTTGTCTCAATGAAAAGCAGTCCTGATAATTACGCTACAATAGAGTCAACATTTGAGCTAACATTATTTAAAGATGCCTTTAATTCCCAAAATTAAAGGAGGAAAAAGTACAGGTAGTCCTCAACTTATGACCACAATTGAGCCCAAACTTGTGAAGTCAGACATTTGTGAAGTGAGTTTGGCCCCATTTTACAACCTTTCTTGCCTCAGTTGTGAAGTGAATCACTGCAGTTGGTAAGTTAGTAACCCGATTGTTAAGTGAATCTGGCTTCCCCATTGACTTTGCTTGTCAGAAGGTCGCAAAAGGCGATTCACATGATCTTGGGACACAACCAGTTGCTAAGCTTCTGAATTTTAATTGCATGATCGTGGGGGTGCTGGGAAGGTCGTAACTGTGAAAAACGGTCATAAGTCATTTTTTTCAGTGCCATTGTAATTTTGAACGGTCAGTAAATGAACTGTTGTAAGTCGAAGACTACTTGTATTGGCATTACCTGTTATAGCAGAGGTCTCCAACCTTGGCAACTTTAAGACTTGTGGACTTCAACTCCCAGAATTCCTTAGCCATCTTTGCTGGCTGAGGAATTCTGGGAGTTGAAGTCCACAAGTCTTAAAGTTGCCAAGGTTGGAGACCCCTGCTCAAAGGCATCAGTTAAAAATGATCTATAAAGAACTCCATCGTTACTTTTTAATGTGTATAGTTTCTGAATGTGACATATTGTTAATTGGTCTTTATGGCTCTCCATTGTCCTACAAGGGACTGACACACCACTTATTGATTGGTGGCCAGCACTGAGTAGGAAAAGAAGTGCCCCGGTTCAGTTAGTCATATTAGCAGCTCCTGCCTCTGTGCTCTGTGCTCATTCCTTAGATCTACTTGATCTAAGGAAGGGTTTCCCAAGCTCAGGCGTCTTTCAGCCCAGCAAAATAATCTTTTGTTTCTGTGTTTAGAATTCCAAAGCTCTTGCTTGGGTTTCCCTTTGTCCTCTGGATATCTGTAAGCCACTAAAATTCCTAGCCACAGATATGACCCCCAAACAGATCATGTGCCGTATTATAGAAGTCATTTGTGTTACTGACTTGGTTGGATCAAAGCTATCAAGTGAAGTGGTCTGTTTGCCAAAACCACTGGGTGGCATCACAATATTGGAAGCAGCAAGAAACAGGATGAATTAACCGCATTATCTTTTGTCCCCTTCATAAAGCTTTTGACATGGTGCTTAATAAGATGCTGTATTGGCCTTTATACAGTTTGAATGTATCACAACAGGCTTTGTTTCTGTTCAGGTACTAATGTGTACATCACTCGGGCGCAGTTGATGAATTGCCATGTTAGTGCTGGGACACGGCACAAAGTGCTTCTCAGGCGGCTACTAGCATCCTTTTTTGACCGGTGAGTAAATGATTTTCTGTGCTATGGAGAAATAAGTATGTGGGCGTGGGTGATTCTTCCTGTGTGTTTACTCCTTCTCATCCCAGTGTTCCTTTCTGGTCTGGAAATGTAGCGCTAGGCTCAAGGAACAAGACAGGAACTGAGACTCAGCTAAAGACAGATAGTATACCAGTGGACAGAATTAGCCATAAGAGGAAGAGCACAGTAAGACACAGTGTGTAATAACGTTTTACTTGCCTTCTGACCATTGCTAGGAACACCCTTGCCAACAGTTGTGGCACTGGAATCCGTTCCTCCACCAATGACCCCAGCCGGAAACCTCTCGACAGCCGAGTGCTGCATGCTGTGAAGTGTGAGTGCCTCTTCAAAATATTTGTATGGGAGAGTGAATAAAATATAGGAGCAAACTAATACTTCCCACTTGAAAGAAAGGGGATACCTAGGAAATCTAACTAGCATATAGTCTCTTTGAGTTATCAAAATATATAATGCTTGTATACCACACAGATAAATGCCAGATTTAAAAGTTTGAAATTAGTCCTTTCTCCCAGTTCCTGCTGAAGTTTTAAACTTGGCCCTGAGTCTTTGTAAATGTGAGTAGGTCTTGGGGCTAGAGACAGAGGCAAAGAGGCATGGGGACATTCCCAATTGCTGCTATAGCAACCTTGATTAAGGCGGCCTTCATTTTCTTCCTTCAGTTTATTGCCAGAACTTTGCTCCAAACTTCAAGGAGAGCGAGATGAATGCAATTGCTGCTGATATGTGCACAAATGCACGACGTGTTGTCCGTAAGAGCTGGATGCCTAAACTGAAACTACTGATGGCTGAAGGCGATGCCTACACAACCTTCATCAATGACAGTGGCAAAATGGAGCCAGACATCATGGGTGTGGAGCACAGCTTTGAGACCAGCAGCCATGATGGAGATGCAGGCACCTCAGCCGAGGGCCTCCAGTGAAGTGTACCCACCTCTTTTTCCAGGCGATGGTTTTTAATTTCCTAAATTTGATTTTTTTTTTTTTTTTTTGTAGAATTGTTTTCCACATTTTCTCATTTTCTTTTTATTATTGTTGGTTTTTTGTTTTTGTTTTGTTTTGGCAGAGGGGAAAGAAAGCATTGTGCTATCTCCTTTTTTTAAAAAAAACAAAGATTCTTAAATTTTGACCTTTCTTCCTCAGGCACTGCAAGTAGTTTGAGCTCAGAGGAGACCCTGCTGCTGCTGCTGCTGCTGTTGCAACTGCACTGGCAGTTCCGACTGGCATTTCTTCTCTCCTATAGCCCCTTCTTTTGTGACTCTTTTGATTTAAAAAAAAAAAAATTAGTGGGAGGAAAAACAACCAAATCCACTTGCAGATACACTAAGGAACACTACCTGTGTCCAGAATACTACCTGTTTCCTCCATCATATGTTTGTTTCCTGATTAGGGCTGTAACTTGGACTAACCGTTACTAAGTCTTTCCTTCCTAGAGAATGGGAAACGGGAGCAGGAAAGGGACTGATTCTAAGATTCCTGGGCTATCACCTTTGCTCTTCTCAGTTCCAGTTCTGCCCCTCCCCTTCCATTCTTGCTTAGGTACACTTAGGTTTTAGGCAAGGAGACAGTTCCTTTCCTTTCATTCTCGGTATCCTCACAACTTAAGTATACTTGCATGCATGCACACTAATGTCTGATTTCTCACCTCTGAACCTATGCACTTTCTCCAACTGTGGCACACAATGATCTCTCCTGTCATTCGGATCACTCTAATCTCCACTCTGATCATGTAGGACACTATGCTTGTTGCCTTTTTATTGGCTCAGAGCCAGTAAAGAAAACACTAAACTTAGAGCTGAGATTACCACTATCCTCTAACATAGTCATCATTTCTTCTAAGCCAGCTTCTTCTCTGAAATGGTTTCTTTTAACACAAAATGTGTGTGCAGGTTACTCAGTTTTCAGGCAGTTTGCAATATCGGACATATATCCATGCAGTCCGCATAGGGCTCTTTCTCTCGGAGCTAATAGTAACAGGTATATTTATCTGTCTTACTGCTGCCGTAACTGGAAACATTTTTATAATTTGCTTTTACAATATTTTTCACTGAAGGATCATTCCCTTCCAGTACACGCTCGAGGATTAGGGAGCAGAATAAGAAATTCTTATTCAACCCTTTCTCCCACTTCAGGTAGTTTGCCAAAGGCAAATATGAAGTTTACAAAACAGTTTTTGATGGATGAGACAAAGCCAAGGAAGAAAGCATCACTTCCTTAATCCAGCCAGTGCTACATTTTCGCACCAGCATGTGTGGATATTTCAAACCAGTCCTCACCTGCAGACAGCTAAAAGGAATCTTTACCGAATGGTTGAAAATCTTCAAAAAGTAACTAACTACAACATGAAACTTTACCTTTTGTTTTTCCCCACTTTCATACTAATGTGGCTTTTGAGTGGTGGTTGTCCCAGAAAAAAGGGCTCCTGGTTGGATTCCATCTTGAGATGGAAAGTAACTAAGTTAAGTGGGCAAACCAGGAATTTTAGGAAACCTTGTCTCCTGCCTTTTTGTATTTCCATTGACACGATTAAGGTAGTCAGTCATACTGAAAGAATCTCTCTCTTCCTTGGAAATCCTGGGATACTGAAGTAGTTATGCTTGATGGCAGTCGGGCCTTTAGTCTTCCCAGTATGGCAGATGTCTCAAACAATCCTTTGTGCGTTCACGATAGTTGTTGCCAGACACTTTCTAAGCCATCCTTTGACCGAATTAAAACAATTCTCCACAACTGGGAAAGGCCTGGGGGGAAGGGGGAGAGAAATCTATTTAATAAAGGAGCCTAAAACTGGAAATCTTGAAGGATTTGCCTCTCCATGAAGACAAATTCAGGGCATGAATAATATTACATCTTTCTCCCAAAAAGATTACAAAAGCTGGAGCATTTTAAAAATAATTTCCACAGTTTAGAATTGTTCCAAATAAGATGGGATGACAGTAGCCCCAATTCTAGTCTCCCCATCATTCTGAAAGCTGCAGTTCTAACCTGTTGGACCCGATGACAGTTTCACTAGTATTATGATTTCACGTCAAGGCATTAACCGGCGTCAATAATGTCTCTCATACAAATTCATCTATAAACTGAACCAAAACTGGCCTGGAAAAAGTTTTCCTTTTCCAAAGAAAGCTCAACAGTTATAGCTGAATCTCAGCCATTGTCTATTTATAAAGAGAAGCAAGTACAGTGTAAATCTTTTTTTTTTTTTAAACAAACCACCTAACTATACTGGTTGTATTTCAGCAGGGGTTGCAAATTTTAGATTCAACCAGTCTTAGCTAAGGGGATGTACATTTCCTTTGCATATGTACATTTGTAGATATGTGTGTTTGTTCTTTATCTGGAAAGAGCTCAAAATCAACCCAGATCTTGTTTCAGAGATTCACACATTCAGGTCCTGGTTGACAAGGAGAGACAATTTTCATGCCACTGTCTAGTTCCAGAGAATTCCTTGGTACATGTATATTTATAACTGGGGAGAAATGAACACATTTCTAAATCACTTCATGAATTGATACTCTAAATGAATTTTACTGTGTTGATTCCTCCTCTCTAGATAGAACACTAAGAACTGCCACACTGAGCCCACTTAGCTGGGAATAAGTGTGAATAGTGCTGCTGACTGAGCACAGTGAGAGCTTTTCTGCATACCTTGGTGGAACATTCTCCCACCCTCTGTGTGAACCGGTCTTGCCTGAGAAGTCATGTGGGTGGATTCCCCACCCCGCTTTTTAATATACTTCATGTGCATGTCCTACTTTGCTCAGAGAATAGCTGCTTTGTACATCAAGGCATGTTGCTGGTTTTCTTTGGTTAGAATAGGCAACCTTGTTCTTTCCTGACTTTGGTAAATCCAGGACATTTTCTAACCCTGGGGTGGGGGCAGGCAAAGAGAAAGCTGAGTACAGAATCTAAAGAGGTCATCCTTCAAACAGCCCAGCCAGATGCAGAGGACCTGATTACTTGAGTGCTGGTCCAGGAGACTGCAGTTGATTGGAGATGTTTTCAGAAAAGTTATTGTCCCAGTTTAAATGTAGGTAAATCTGCCTTACAAACCTAAGGTATTATACTTATTTCCTTCTTTTTACTGATTTCCTTCTTGTAATTCCACCATGGAATCCAGAGATTCACAGTTTTTGTGAATTTGCAGATAGTTCTGTTTTGTCTGTTTTTCTCAGAATTATAATTCAGGTGCTGCTATTTTTAGAAATCCATGATGAAGTGCACAAACTTTGTGGCATCCTACTGCATTCCCTGCCCAGTGACACTATGAGCATTTGCTTTACTATAAAGAAATGGCTCTTCCAAGATCTCGAAAGTTAATTGTTAACATTAACTCCAATTCACCCTTCACTGCTTTCACTTTTTTCCAGGTCCTCTTTTCTCTTTTCCTACTAGTTTATTTTATACAGGAAAGATTTAATTGTTATCTAGGGCGCAATTTACCCAGTGCTTCTATATTATTATGGTCAGTTACATAACAAACCCCACTCACTTCACATCTGATTAGTATTTTTCCTGAAAAATGGAAGAGACAGAAGTTAACTTTTTAAAAATCATATACATTTTCTAGAAACCAAATAGAGGTATAGTTCATTATTTTCTTACACTATAATAATCTTTAATCATGTTCTAGTTGGAAAAAAGTATGTAATGGATGGTGTTTAAAAGGTGAATGATACAAAGTTTTATTGATATGGTGGGTATATGTGTGACAGAGAGAATTGTAATAATAGTCTCCACCTGAATTTTCAAACGGTTTTAGGAGAAATAATTAGCTTAGCTGTCACATTTGAAAACTGGCCTTGTTTAAACAATGGAAAGAATATGAGCATTGAACCAACGTTGCATATTTAGCAGGACTGCAAGAAAAAGAAAACTAGGTATCTAATCAAGAATGCATGTGCATTGTTGAGGAGAATGCCCACCTGCATCACAGTGCTTCTCTAAACCATACATGGAATTATAGGGATGAATATTGCAATATGAATAGAGATACATATCCAGGTCGTCATTTTTATAGGAACAACTAATATAGAACAGTTGCATGCACATGAGTTCCTGTTATCATCTGATGCTTGCGTCTATCTCTCACCCATGCTGCCACCCATGTTGTTGCATGTTCTATAGAGGCTGACCAATTATATTTACTAGCTATTTTTTCATGAACATGAATGTGATTCTAATGAACAGACTCTTAAGATAAAACAGCTGGGGTAGTAGTAAACTGTTAAAACACTTTTCCCCAAACAAAAAACGTGCCAGCTTTTCCCTCAATCTGCATTGAACCTAGTCTTGCTCTTAGTACCACTCCAATTCCTGGACTCTGATTTATATGCTCCAATCCAGCTGCACAGTACACTCTTAAAATTCTATACTTTGTCCTTTTTTCCTACTGTTCTCCTTGGTATTTCTGATAGGTTCTCTTCCCTTCCCTAACCACATAATGTAACATTTTTTATTTGAAAATGTAGAGGAATTAAGAGATTATAATGGCATAGACTTTTTTTTGCATAAAAATGGATAGGAGTTCATACTTCTTTCTACCATCTTGACCTCCAAATTAAGATTGGAAGACATATTCTTTAAACTCCACTCTGAGTTAGGGATACTTGTAGTTGAACCACTACAACGCCTGAATATAACTTTACCACAACATATTGTCTTCAGTAGATAAAGTACTATAAAATAGTGAAATAACATCCAAAATCTTTCCCCCTACGTTGGTTTTTAAAGCAAAAAATATATTGCAATAACAACAGTATTTCACTGTGTGACTCAGAACAGAATTTTCTCCCTAATCATTAAGAGTTTTTCCTTATATAAAAGTATGTTAGATTGGTCTTCTCTAATCTCCACTGAACTCTAATATAGCCACTGCTCAGGATGTGAAAAGCTTTCTTAGGTTATTATTACTTGTTCAGCTGAGTGAACTAAGCACTTCTACAACATAAATGTGTATCACACATTCATCCCCTTCTCAGTAAACTTGAGCAGAGTTACTTGGATGTAAGTAATAACATTATTAGTTTTCAGTTTTTATAAAGTGGGAAGAAGTGGAAAGATTAATCCCCTTTGAACAATTGGCTTTTTTCAGTAACCCCGTGTGTAGAAAATGGACTTCTTGCTACTAATAGTGACAAGAAATCAGCTGTTTCCTACGAACTGATCAGATTGATCAACTAACAAGCAGGAAAAGGAGACACCGCTTTTACCATAATTGTCCATCTT